AATGACGAAGCCCAGAAATATTTTTTAGATTTGTTAGTTTTTAATGATTAACTAATATTAATTGATAGTATATTATTATAGATATTACATCAAATGAGAGATAAAATAAACATATATTGAATAGAATAACACTATTAAACAAAAGGGAAGTGATTCATGCACACGAGCAATCAACACCCAACTCATGACACACGCATTTCAAAAGGAAAAAATGATATTTTATTTTTTATGTGTTTATACTTAACTTATTTTGAATAGTCTAAAAACATGTTTTGTCAAAGGCAGTAAATGCCCTTTTCTTCTTTCTCATGCTTTCTCTTTCTTCTTTGCTTTTCATTTCCCCCTTTTCTTTACAACAACTGAATGACTAGACGAAAATGGATTTCTTAAAATTTTTTTTTTGATTTTCGTCCGGTATCCATAATTTCACTTTGATTAATTTAAATCGATCCAAGTCACACACCTGAAAATGAAAATGATAGGTAAGTCTCCCAAAGCAAAGGTTAAAAGAAAAATCCTTTCTGCCAATTACCTCAAAAGAAAAAAATAAAATAAAAAATAAAAAAACATCTAGTAATTTATAATTTTCATTCGCTACAACATATAAATCGCTTCAAGTATAAAGTAGCCCAAAAACTAGATACTCCTAGAAAAGATAACTAAAAGATAAGTATGAAAACCTAGTTATACTACCACCTGGGCGTTAGTTATACCACGATGGCACACCCAACACTAATAGTAGCTTTGTTAGCCAGTTATCACAATCTTTCTTTCTCTCTAATTTTTTTTTTTATAATCAAATAAAATAATATTTTGATATTCTTCCCTCCCTTCAAATCAAACATAGTCTAAAATTGCATACCAAAAAGCCACAATTAAAAAGGAAAGAAGAAAGCAATACTCTCTCTATTTCAAAATAATCGTTCGGAGTATTTTTTATTTGTAATTTATTTTAGAATAATAATTATATTTTAACTTTAATTATCCCTCAAATTATTAAAAAAATTTAAATAAAATAGATAAAAATAAAAATTACCATCAATCTATATTATTCTAAGAGTACATAGGGAGTATTAATTACATAAAAGTATTTTTCACTTTGTCCTACATAAAAATTAAAAAAAAAATTCAAAGTGAGGGAAAAAAATATCCTTATAATATGTGTAGGTTGAGGAAAATGGAGGAAAGGGGAAGATTTTCTCACATTGCAAAATTTGATTGGTCAAAAAATTTTCTTCTCCCCTTTATTCCATTTCCCTTAATTCAAATATACTATTAATAAATTAAAAATACATAAACATTTATTTATTTTTGTCTAATTTGAACTGATATTTTCTTTTTACAAGAGACACGGTAAAAACCC